ACGTCGCAACCTTTTTTCTGCCAAATTTCAACGTTGAAACAACGTCGTGTGCCCGGTGGGTTATGTCTTCAAGATCGCCGTCATCAGAAACTTCATCACTATCGGACTCATTGAATCGTGGAATGTTCAGTAGGTGATGCGTTAATAACTGGGAGGCAACCCACGCCTTGAACATCGTGTATTTCTTCATGAGGCATGGTATTGAAGCCAGTCTATCCCGGTAGAGTTGTTTCGTCAGTGGCACGAACCATTTTGCCATCGAGCTTGTAAGCTGTTTTTCCTGTACCGTCTCTCAATGCAATGGACATAGGCTGGGTGTCTTGATGGATTTCAGTTAACGATAAATACGTCGAATGTTATAAGAAGCCATTCTTATAACATTCGACGTATTTATCGTTAACTGTGCAAGCGCGGAATCGTAGGCCATTGTCGCAAACAGGGAAATGCAATGTCCAAGACCATTTAAAACACGAAGCGTATGGCTTAAAAAACGACCCATCTTCTGATGAGTACACTAGCGAAGTAATTTTTAAAATAAACGTTGTCCAAACAGAGAAAATCAAAGTTAAAGTTTATATAAATTAACATGATTTTTTATCACATATAAAACCACGACACGCTTATGATTTTTCTTTGTGTTTTGCTCCTGAATTATTAATGAGTTTTTAAGATCATAAATAACATCATTGACATATCTACACTTCGTTAGCCAATGTCAGAGTATTTTCTGTAGACTAGTTTTGTAAATGTATTGTTATTAAAGTAAACTATTTAGGTGCAAGTTTCTTATCATAGCCTTATTAGCATAACCAGTTGTTGTGGTTTATAGAAATGAAAAAAATAACACTCAATTTTAACGAAGCAGCAGCCAACTTAATTGTACGCATGCAGAACAGCGCGAGGTGGCGCTTACCGGTCACCGTAGTAAAGTTAATTTACCAACTTCAGTCTCTATATATCTTCTGAGCTTTGGGATAGAGCTGGGGCAAAGAAAGATTCAATCTTCCTCTGCGTAATACATCTGTATTAAGCAAACTGAAAACGTACATATGTAACTGTGCATTCACTTCGAGATTCACTTTGAAATTATAATTGATAGGGCGCTCAGCCGACTACTACTAAATGTTGCGGAGGCTCAAGCCCCCGCTGCCCCCGCGGCTCCTACGGCCATGTCATAAACCTCTTTCAGTTTAGTCACCTTTTCGTGGTTCTTTAACAACGGGTCATCCAAGACTCATCTTCACTCTCCATCTCACTTTGCGACGTTTAACTTTCTTCATTTAATTAATATTTCGCTACGACACCTTGACAGATACTTTGAGCATAACGATATCTCACTTCTGTTGCGTTCATAGTACTTACGGTGTATAGAAAACCAGCTGGAGAAATCTTTTTATCATTCGAAATCTCCTATAGCCCGATGCATCGCAGTTCTCAACCGTCGCAACAGTTCTGACGAATTCCGCTTCAATTTTCTTCATGTAGTAATTCTCCTCGTTGTCAATTAATTATCGTTACCATCATCATTATCCTTACCATGCTTATCAGAAAATACGTTTACTTACCGTTTCAGTCACAAAAGACTTTTTCTTACAAATGATGCAAACAGGAGCCAACACTTATTTTGTTTTTGTTTTGCTTGATGCATTTACTTTTGATCGTAATAATTTTTTGACAGTTTGGATGCGTTGGTCGTATCTAAAATAAAATAAGCTTATTCAGAAATTATATAAGCATTAATATTAATATTAATAATAGTGGAAACTCTGTTTAATAGTTCTGTAATAATAGAGACAACGGCAATGGCAATGATTTTACCTACGTACCAGAGGTTTCAGTTGTCTTATCATCTAAAGGTTTTAAGTCATCTTGTGGTACCAGCTGTGCCTTCGCGGACCGAATAATAGATGACTCTTTATATCGACGTTTTGTAAATTTTGAATAACATCCTCTGTGGTAACCAGCTGCAGAATTTTGCCATTCGTTATCGTCAAATCATGCTGTATTCTCTGCTACCTCTTTTTGCTTTCCATCCAATGTCTTTTAAATCCCTATACATTCTAAAACTCGTTTGTATGCATAATCTCTAAAGCGTGCAAGTTGGGCCGTGCCAAGTGGTTTTCAGTTGGGGAGGGGGGGGGGGGTGAAATAAAAAAATTGGGGCCCTTCCAATTTGGAGGCGCCCTCAAAATTTTTTACCAGAAACCAAAGAATTTTTCCGGCAAATACTGGGGAGGGGGGAGGCAACCAATTTTTTTTTTCAAACACTATGTTTACATAATGGGGGCTTAAATTTAGTTTTGAAGACTTTTTAGACTAATTTTCCAGAAAATTTCTTAATATTTAACACGGACCGCTTTTCAGGGCCACCTCTCCGCAATTTGGGCCCCTTTTTACTTTTCTTTGGGGGGTAATACACCCCCCAGGTGGCACGACCCTGCATGCAAGCTGTCCACTTTCTCCATCGAAATGAATCAAACAATAAGAGGCCATGCTTGGCAATGCAAAGAGCCGTAAGAGCTGTAAGCTGTGCTGTAAATATATTTCTTCTACCTTGTACTTCATCTAAAATAAAAATATAATGTACGAAGTGCACGGAAAAAGACTTGAACTAGTACCGTTCATCATATATTACACGAAGTACCTAGGGCAAAAATGGCGGCCATCTTGTTTCGAAGCCGTGAAAGATACTGCACTTTGGTGGCAATATACTCAAAAACTGCAGGTTTGTGCGAGTGACAACATTGAAATTCATACTTAGCGTGTCAAAATCTATATATTTATATAAATTAAAATTAGATGGAGACCGATGGCAGCGCAACTGAAAGATATTTGCCCACAGAATACGACCTGTATTTGAAATATTTGATTCTCTAGCATATTTATATATTTTCATGTATTCAGTTTTGTTATTATTATTAGTTCACAGTTGTGATTCAAATAGCCAATTGTAAGTTACCTCATTAATTAGTGAGGTTTACAATTGTATATATATACATAGTTTTATCGCTAGTTTCTTCCATGAATTACATCCATATTTGTTTAAAATTAAACACAAAAGTTTCTAATCATAATTTGTCATGGCCAGAAATCACGGACATAATTTATTCTACTTCCTTACTAATTTGCATATCACTTTGAAATATGGCTCCAACAGTATACAGTAGATTGTACAACGTGATGTTCTAAACGCAAAATCGGAGAATATGGTAGATCCTTTGCAATTTGCCATAATCGCTGGATGCAAAACAAAGCCTGTCAAAGAATTTAGTGTAATATTAGCCTGATTTAAGTTGCTATCATTCCTGCTTGTTCTATATTTGTACCGAGGTTAATTTTAACAACATTTGTCTATTTACTGTAACTCTATATAAAAGTATCGCACTAGGACGGAATAAACTAAAAAACAGGAAAAACAACAACTTAAACTAGGCCAAAATTACACTAGATCGATGGAGAAACTTCGATTTAGCACCAGCGATTCCGGCAAGTTTCAAACGATCTACCATATTCCTAGATTTGGCGGCGTAAACAACGTATTAATATGATCAAAGCCGCTCTGAAAACACAGAAAGAGAAATACCTGCTTTGAGTAATCCTAACATACTTATTACACAACGAACTGTAATTAAATGTTGCTGCGGAAAAGTTTGTAAAGGCAATGGGCGTTTTGAAAATTCACCAGCGTAGCTGTCAAGTCCTACATGCGCTAAACAACGAGTTATGCGCAGATCTTGAGGAGCAAATTGCTGATAACCCTGAGAATATCATAACGGACGATCACTCACCCACAAGACAGTCAACTTTAGACAGTAAAAAACTTACTCCTAATCTAAAGAAAAGCAAAAATCTTCCGAAGAAGGATTCTGAATAGGAAATGGCAAAAGATTATTTTAAATTTGCAAATTAAAAGGGTTTAATGGCCCAATCATATCATAATCTGCTCAATAAGCTTCGTTACCATGGTGACATTCAGACAGACTCCAACCGAGACAACTCGTTTAATCATGACAGATACATAGAAAGAAATTTTTGGTTTATGTTAAAAGCATTGTAAATAAAGAAGATACTGTGTTCCCATCCGTTCAGCATGACAGAATGTGCGGTTTATTTTACTAAAACTTTAGCAGATTAGCTGCAGTTCACCCTAGCAAACTGATTAATATTCCTAACTGGATTCCTAGGTTTTCTGATCCACAAGTGCATTTTGATCTTGACCCACCTTCTTACCAACAAGTTACTGCTGTTATTCGTAAAATGAAAGCATCTGGTTCTCCTTGTCCTCTCGATCAAATATCAATTATATGCGTTAAGCGATGTCCTTACCTAAGAACTTATTTAACTGAACTAATACGCGCCGTCTGGCTTTCAGGATCTATCCAAGGTGAATAGAAAAAAGCTTGCACAACATTTATTCATAAGAAAGGCAACACGAGTATTCCCTCAAATTTCCGACCGATCACACTCGAATCTATACCGCCTGAAGTATTTACATCATGTCTACGTAAAGCAATGTACTCCTCTGTCACCGCCAATATATAACTTTATAGAACATAACATACAAAAAGGCTTCACCCCAAATCTATCTGGTACTATGGAACATACTGCGTAAATGGCTAATATAATCAACATGCTTGGATAAAACAAAGTTCACTTGTCATATTCACACCACTTGACCTCAAAAACGATTTTGGATAAGTTCATCACAACTTAATCCAATCTGTCCTTGGCTATCATCACATCCCTTGTCACATGAATAATTTAATAAAAAGCTTATATACTGATTTTAAAGCTTCCGTTACTATTTAATATGTGTTTCAACACATATATTCAACATATCAAAGCTGAAAAGGACCGCCAATTCGGTTTCTCCCTACAACTCCTTAATTAATCTGATCGACTGGCTTCAGTTTGCCGATGATGCTGCGGTTATTACTGGTCAAGAGTCGGAAAATCAAGATATCCTTAATCGATTCTCAATCTGGTGCCAATGGTCCAACATGGTTGTTAGAATTGATAAATGTAGCACATTTGGCATCAAAAAAGTTTTATCAAAATCAGCCAAGTACCTGCCTAAGCTTTTGATCAATAAAGATCTCATACCAACGATTAAAATTGGAGAATCATTTGAGCATCTGGGACGACACTTTAACATGACTAATCAAAAACACAAATCTAAACTGATCTCCCTCATTGATGAACTAATGTCCGAAATAGCTCTCAAGCCTCTTCACCCGTATTTTATCTTTCGCCAACATAGCGGCTCGAGCGCCTAGACAATGACAATTATCCAAGAACGAAACCATAACTTCTTACGAAACTGGAGACAGAACTTAATATATATCCTATCCCTCGACAGCAATTTTATACTCTTTTACAAAGCCACATGGTAAAAGAAAACATGTATTATCCCCACAGAGGCTTACTCCATGATAAAGTCCCCGTTACTGAACCTAGACGGTTAAAAGCCGTTCAAAAGAACTCTCATTTAAGATTTATCGTTGGGACAAATTGCTAATTTTCCCCCTCTCGTTCCACGTAGTTCCATCCTTAAGAATTCAGTCTCACTTTATGATATTTGGCGGTAAATCCACCAGCACTTTGGTTTCCAGTCCACCGGGACTCACTTCCTCGACCGGACCAACGCCTCATGGCATTCCCTGAAGATAACTTACTAACTGCTGGTGGAGGCATCAGCCATCATGGAGAGGCGTTGGATGTTGATGACGATTTAACCGCTACCCTATAAAACATCATCATCGTTGACGATGAAATATCTCAGGCACTCTTTCCCTTCCTTGATGAGCTACGATTACTCGACGAGATTAGGACAATGTGCATTGGCAGTACAAACTCACGGCGAAATCCTACCAGTGCCTTGAACGACCCACGACGTAAAGAATTCCGGCCCCAGTCACGAGGGTGTTGCTGGGATGATCATGATCTAAATTTTCAATCGTGGCATCTTTAATACCCAAGCGATGACGTCAGCTGCCATTGAGATGCAAGTATTCCCCTGGCAAATAGCGACCGGCATCTCTACTCAAAGCACGATTACTCTTGCTATGTATATATGACAAAAAACCCTGGTGAAGACACTAGACTGGATTGTCGAAACGTTGGGTCTTGATTACAATTAGACTGGGCTTTATAATAATTTATTTAAACCAGAGTAGCTAGCGAGAATATGATTGCTAAAGTCTTCTTATTAAATTCCCTTGGCTGCTTCTTCCATGAAGTATTGTGCAGTTGTCACTCCATATAAAGGTATCCGTTGTGTACACCAGATTTGCCATGGGTAATTGCCTGGCTCCATGACCTGTATATTGGTGCAAATACCGCCGATGACCTGTATATTTCCGATGACCTATATATTGGTGCAAATACCCCGAGTGAGGTGGTCGACCACTTGCGCCGCGTGCTTTCTCTACTGAAGAAGAACAACCTTCACTTATCCGTGATGCCCTCTTGATCTTATGCTGACAATACGCGTGGATCCCGCATCAGGATCCTCTGCACTCACAAATGGCAAGATTGTTATCTCCTCTGGCATTCATTTAGTGGTAGGCAGACCTAAGAACCCAACAAGAATCCCGTCGCTGAACACGCAATTGGCGAGCCTGATACGGAGCTCCTTAAAGTGCGCATGACATGAATTTTGTGATTTCCTTAAATGAAAGAACACTTTAAGATGTAACGTAACTTATTTTTCAGTTCCTTATTTTCATGGTTTGTTCCCGATATATCTCAATTTGTTTGGTATGTAAATGAGTGTGAATATGTCTTCTAATTTATTACGTCACGTTGGTTCCAAGCTCGACTTACACTGGTTATAAATCTATTAACTCTAAAACTGTAGATATCCAGTTCACGTTTTCCCCAGTATTTTATCACATTTACCAGTGAGTATTATCTTGAATGATAGCCCTAATATTCAACCATTTTGAAGAGCTTGCAACCAACGTGATGTCATAAATTAGCGGACATATTCACACTCATTTACATAACAAACAAATTGAAATATCTCGGGAACAAACCATACAAACAAGAACTGAAAAATAAGTTGCACTACAGCTTAATTAGAGTTGTTTCATTTCAGAAAGTAAAAAAATTCATGTCATATGCACTTTAACTTACAGTACATCCTAAAGGAGGCCCAGTTTCAAAGGTCGTGTTTGCTCTCGCTGTTGCGAACTTGAATTCCAGAATCCGACGCAAGCCCTTTCCGCAAGCGAAGTCTGGATCCAAAAAGATCAGCTATCTATTGAAGCCCTCGTTTCTAGCTCAACCCTCTCATGGGCCTGTCGGTGGGCAGGATGAGTGGCTAGAGTCCGACTCCGGCCACGAGTCTAATACCAGTACAAATGCCCAAGAATATGCTGGAAGGGTTGCTTTACCAATCTTCGACGTAGTGTGGTGTAGCCTATAGTGGAGATGAGTAACGCCATACCTCGCTTAACTCTTAAATGGAGGTTAGTGGACAAGTGGAATGGCAAGCACGCCATTCTCTTTCCCAGCGGTTTAGCACATACGCATTTCATTATCATCTTATTTATTTTATTTATTGAATTGGTCGCCATACAGAAACAAGATATTACATTGACGAAGATAACTATGTGACAAGAGAACGGAACAGGACTTTCGTCCCACTTGAAGCCTAACCCCTTACAATATTCACAATATACTATTTGTCTTTACTCAACAATATATACATTATACTTTTGTATACATTTATATACATATACACATATTTGGAAACGACTAACATGAAAAAAGAAGTTCAGAAATTACTATAATTAGCCGGATCAACCAGGAGGTCTGTTAGTTGATAAACTCAGTTTATTCATTATTATTGGAGTTATTATTTTTACATTTGTTGGCTTGTGGAAATGATTATTGCTGCCGAAACCAGCACACTTTACTTAACATGAAGCACTGCGTTTACGTGTGCCCAGTCTCTTTGGCCGAGTTATGCATAGCCGAACGAGAACTTGATTTTGTGCATGTACGGATGTACGTCCGGATGATTAGATCATACTCCAGATCGCGATTTGACTTTCTGAATGCCCTGGTTGCACCTCGCGAACACCACCATGGACTATAACAAATTGTAAAGATGTTCATGTATCCCTCGTTGCCTGCTGTATATTTTGTAACTGGCTTGCCGCAAATTTTTTCGAAATATTTTTCAAGGTAAGATGAACGTTTGATGATAAATAACAATGTGTTTTGGTCGAAGTATGGTGAAACTTGAAACAAATGAATTAAATGTATTTAAGTTTACAGAACACCTTTGAGTTTTACTTTTGCCTAAAATTTTTTTATTGGTTTCCATGACAGCATTAGACTAGTTCTACTATCTGACCAAGTTTGAACGAAAAATGTTGAAAACTCGCAGAGTTATATAATAAAATACATATCGCTGAAATAAGAAAAACATTGAAAATGTAATATTCAAATTCAATTTTCTCCCGAAAAATTTTACGGTAATTACTGAATTTACGAGTTGTGTTCCTGCCAATTTGGTTTTAACCAATTTTTCTTAAATTTTCACAGAGCATAGCTAAAGATATCAGTTTCAAAATGGTGTTCGGCTTTTTTAATTTTGGATATTTTGGATATCAGAAATATATTGCAGTCGTCAAAGAAATCGCCATATCAGCGGAATGACGAAATAAACAAAAATTTCCGAACACAATTTTTTAGAACAACTATTTTACTGTATAAAAATTATATTTTCGTAAATATAACTTAAAATGATATTTTCATAAATATAACTTAAAACCAGCAGGAGCACAACTCAAAAGCGTAACGGTACCGCGATTTAAGATTTTCCTGAATAATTCTTACATTATTTTATTGTTTGTTAATTTTACAACTTTACCATATTTTGCATGCATTGGAGAACATTTGGTGAAAATTTGATGAAAATCGGACTGATATTGAGCGCGCAGTAGCGATTTTTCGCAAAACGCCAAAAAGGATATCCTGTAACTTTAAATTATTAAATTTTTAGGTGCATACAAGTCTTCATACTGTAAACAAGTGCATCTCGTCGTAGAAAATCTGATTGAGCTTGATAGAACATCGTACCTCAAGGTATAAATAATCACAGTGATAATTTAATATTAATATTGTTATTCTGGGTATATCAATTGAGCAGTTTCGTGCTCGCATTGGAACACACAAATATGTACGGATGAAAAATTATCTGACTTGTACAAAGATAGTCCAATGGCAACACAGTGTGGATTGTTGTCTGCATATATTAACTTTATACCAACAGTTACATGTAATAACATGTCGACCGACTTTTGTAAAAAGTATATGACGGTCTGTAAAAATATATCTCTGAGATATGTCCAATGTTAGCATAATATGAAATAATCCTATACCAGCTAGCCTATATTTTATACAGTTACCTGGCTGTCACTAGAGTACTCAGGGTATACTATATTTTTTGATAATGCTCACAATTTTTGATGTTATATAGTTTTGCAGTTCTGACTGAGTACAATAACAATTAGACAAAGTTTTTTTTCTAAAATATCCAGTTATTTGCCTTACCTCAAATTTTATTGCAGATTTCTATGAAATCGACCACGGAGATTCCAAATCCGCGGTGGGCCCAAAAAAATTCGGCACAGAAGTCACATGGTTTGTGACGTCATCAGTGATATATAAAAAGCTATTAAATAAAGCAAAAGAAGGTCATGTGTGAAGTCAAAATTACTTAAACAATTCTATATGTGTAAAATCGACCCGGGAGGTGATTCCAAATCCAAAGTTGCTCACAAAAAATTGTAGGGGAAGTCGCCTGTTTCGTGACGTCATTATTTCTAAAACCTTCTTAAAATGTCCTATGTTTGGAAAATAGGTAAAAAAAATTGAAATATAAATCGACGACGAAGTCTGACGTTTCCTTCAAAAATCGCCATCAAATTTCTTGTCCACCACGTCCGATCCCGACCTCTTATTTCCCCACATGCCTTTCCGTTTAGTTTCTAAATTGGAAATCAGTCGAACTACTCGTAAAACGCCAAATTAAACGCGTTTTTATTTCAAAGCTGCAATTTTTGATGTTAGGAAAGAAAAATTGAGATGTTAGAGAAGAAAAATTGAGTCGTTAAGAATAAGTAATATTCTTAGAATAAATTGCACTCAAATGTCATCGTAATATAACATTACTATAAATATAATTTTAAAATTATTTCCCTTGTGAGTAACAACAAAGCT